AATGAATAATAACAATAATAATAATAATAATAAATAAACATAAAAATAAAGAAGATAATAAATAATGATAATAATAATAAATAAAAATGAAGAATAGCTAAAAAAAAATAATTAATAATAACAAAAATAATTAATAAAAATAAAAAAAATAATAATAATAAATAATAAAAATAATAATTTGAATAGATTTAATTGTCAGAGTCGAAACAAAAAATTGTTTGGGGGAAAAAAATGAGAGAGAATAAGAAACGTAAATGGAATTTTACATAATTGAGACTTTGATATTTTTTTTATCAATAAACAGTTGGTTAAATTTGTCACGTGTTTACGTGTCCTCCATTATTATACAGTCCTCAATATCAAATGCTTTGTGCACAAACTGTCAGCATTTATATACATGTTTATTGATTCGCAAAAGATTGAGACAACAGTACAGTTCACAACATAATCAGGCACGTGCCCCTAAATTATTGAATGCACTTTTTTTTTTGTTTCGCTAATTTTCTCCATTCAATTCACAACTAAATTTTAATTTTAATATTTTTTTTTAATTTTTAAATTTTTATTATTTTTTTCTTTTTTAATTTTTTTTTTTATTATTTTAATTCATTTATTTAATTTTTATTATTATTTACCAATTATTTAATTTTATTTAACCAAATTTTATTATTATTTTATTATTATTAATTTTTTATCGCACAAATAAAAATTAAATTAATTCATAATTATTAATTATATAGTTAATCGAATAAATAGAAAAATATGTATTTAATTAATAATTAATAATTAATAATTAATAATTATAATTAATCAAATGAATATAAAAAACATAATTAATTATTAAAAATTATAATTAAACAATTGAGTATAAAAAATATCTACTCAATTACATTATAAGTTTTTAATTAATAAGATAAATATAAAAAATAGATTTAAAAATTAATTATAACTAATAATTAATAATTTATAATTAACGAATAATTATAGTTAATAATTACATCTTTCAAATTAAAAAAAAAAAAACAAAATTTTTCACAAACCAAATTTTTCTCATCGTCATAATTTTTATCACATTAACAAAATTTTTCACTAAAAGAATGAATTATTTCTTTTTAAAATATTGAATTTGAAAATTAAATTTTGTTATTTTTTTATATTTCATAAATTTTTTTCTATTCATTATTTATTTTATTTTTCACTATTTGTTTAAATATTGTTTATTTATTTTATATTACTTGTTTATTTAGTATTTATTTTATATATTATTTTTTCGAATTAAATTATTATCTAATTTTTATTTTTCCAAATTATCAATTTTTTAATTTGTAATTTATTTATCTTTTTGTATATTATTTATTTATTTTTACAGATTTTCCTATTTTATTGTTTATTTATTGCATTTTATGTCATTTTTTAATTATTTTGTTTATTTATTGTATTTTATGTCATTTTAAAATTATTTTGTTCATTTATTTTATGTTATTTTTAATTATTTTGTTTTTTTATTGATCGTTTATTGTCTTTTCTATTATTTACTTACACAAATTATTAATTATTAATATTAAATACACAAATTAAAAAAAAAAAAAAAAAAAATTATTGTCGTTTCTATTATTTCCTTATTTTATTTCCAATTATTTATTATTTTTTCCATTATTATTAACCCATTTTATTTTATTTTATTTCATTTTATTTTCTATACTATTTATCAATTTTATTTTAAATCATTTATTTTTCAAACATTTTTTTAAAAAACTTATTTAAATTTTTCCGAATTCACTGAATTGAAAAAAAAAATTTCAGAATTAAAAAAAAACATTAAAACTTTTTCAAACATCACTTACGGTTTTTCTTTTTGTTTTTCTTTTCGGCGGGATATTTAAAAACTCGAAGATCTCTCTCAATTTTAAAAGCAAAAAAAGGTAGAATATTATTATTTTTTTTTTTTTTTTTTTTTTTTTTTTAAGAAGGAAATATTAATTTTTGGTAAAAAAAAATAAATTTTGAAAAATAGAAAATAGTCGTGTATAGAAAGAAGGGAAAAAAAGACGGACGGAAGTAGAGAGAAACGGGGAGAGAGAGAGTGAGTGAGAGAGGCACGATGCAAACTATTGGAAAGGACGGGACACACTGCGACAATGCTTTGATACGCCTTCTGACGGATATTTAAGGCAGTTTGTTTCCCTCTCCCTTTACTCCTTGACATATCAAAGTCACCCTCAATTTTATTTCATCAACTTCATTTAAATTTCTCTGTCTCCCTCCTCTCACTTGCTCTCTCAATCATTAATTTTCATTTTAAATGGGAAACTCAAAAACACACATTTTTAGTATTTTGTAATTTTTTTTAGTATTTTTCTGTTTCAATATTTTCTATATTTTTAGTATTTTCTATGTTTTACTATTTTTCTTTATTTTAGTATTTTTCTGTATTTTAGTATTCTCTATATTTTAGTATATTTAAGTATTTTTTTATTTTTTAGTATTTTCTGTATTTTAGTATTTTTTGTATTTTATTATTCTCTATATTTTAGTATATTTAAGTATTTTTTTATTTTTTAGTATTTTATGTATTTTAGCAATTTATTAAATAGTATTCTAGGGTATTTTAGTATTTTCTATTTTTTAGTTATTTTTCAGTATTTTTTATATTTTAGTATATTCCTCTCTTATAATATTTTATACGTTTTAGTATTTTATTTAAATAGTATATTAGTATTTTAGTATTTTCTATATTTTTAATATTATCCTGTATTTTAGTATTTTTCTAAAATACTAATTTTTTATTTTAGTATTTTTTTTTAGTATTTTCTATGTTTTAGTATTTTTTTATATTTAAGTATTTTTTTTAGTATTTTCTACATTTTAGTATTTTTATGTATTTAAGTATTTTTTTATTTTTTAGTATTTTCTTGTATTTCAATAATATTTTATTCATTTAAGTATTTTATTTAAATAGTATTTTCTGTGTTTTAGTTATTTTTCAGTATTTTTTATATTTTAGTATTTTCTTCTCTTATAATATTTTATACGGTTTAGTATTTTATTTAAATAGTATTTAAATAGTATTTAAATAGTATTTTAGTATTTTCTATATTCTTAATATTTTCCTGTATTTTAGTATTTTTCTAAAATACTATTTTTTATATTTCAGTATTTTTCTGTATTTTAGTATTTTCTACATTTTAGTATTTTCTATATTTTAGTTATTTTACATATTTTAGTATTATTAGTATTTTTTCAGTACTTTACTATTTTCTCTTTATTATTTTCCATATTTCAGTATTTTATTTAAATAGTATTTTCTGTAGTATTTTTTAGTATTTATCTTTTTTAATATTTTAGTACTTTGCTGTTTTAGTATTCTCTGTATTTTAGTATTTTTTTAAAAATATTTTCAATGTTGTAGTATTTTTTTGTTTTTTTAGCACTTTTTATATTTTAGTATTTTTCTTGTATTTGAGTATTTTCTATATTTTTGTATTTTAGTAATTTATATATTTTACTATTTTTATGTATTTTACTCTTTTTCTTAAATAGTATTTTCTATATTTTTGTATTTTTTTTTAAATAGTTTTTTCTGTAGTAATTTTTAGTATTTTTCTCTATCATAGTATTTTATTATTTTCTGTATTTTAGACTTTTTCAAATAGTATTTTTGGGTATTTTAGTATTTTTATTTTTCAGCATTTTCTAGATTTTAGTATTTTCTAAATTCTAGTATTTTCTGTACTAAATAACACTAAATACTAAAAAAAATTATAATAAAAAAATACAAAGTAATGAGAAATAATAAATACTAAAAAATACTAAAAAATAGAATACTAAAAATACTATAATAACAAAAGTACTAAAAAGACATGAATGAGTCTTGAGAATGTAAAAAATAAAATAAAAAAAAAAATTTTGCAGAATAATTATTTCAATGCAGAAATACAGAAAAAAGAAATTCTCATTTTAGAAGAAGGGAAAGAAGACTTTACTTCATTTCCAAAGTAGTTAAAGTCTCTGAAAAATGTCAGACACTGACAATAAAGTAATTGAAATTCGGTTTGTCACGGGAAATTGTATTCGCGACTAAGAAACTTGTAAACAATTTCTACGTTAATTTTCACATTTAGCAGATGAAAATTTTTCACTTGGAAAAAAATATTAATTTAATATTAATATAATAATAATATTAATATTTATTAATTTATTTTTTGTAAGCTCGTTTACTACTTAAATAAATAAATAAATAAATAAATAAATAAATAAATAAATATAATATTAATAATAATTAATTAATAATAAAAAAAAATTTTAATTTAATACCATTTAATCAAAAAATTCAAAAAATAGAAAGTAGAAAATAATAATAATAATAATTACATATTATTTTCTATTTTCTACATTTTTTGATTATCATTATTACTATTATTATAAAAATAAGAAAATTAATTTCTTTTTAATAATAATATTTTAAATAATTTAATCACATAAATTAATATTTAAATATTTAATTTAAAAAAAAGAAAATTTTAAATTTAATTCCAACTATTCATAATCATTTGAATTTAATTAAAAACCATTAAAAAAACAAATTTTCAATTAAATTCAATAATCACATATAAAGAAAATAATTTACATTTTAGAAAAAATTGAAAAATTTTCATAGAATTTTTTTTTCAATTTTTCTAAAAATAAAAACATTTTTCACTACAAAGCGAATGTAAAAAAAAAAAAAATTGAGAAGTCATATTCAATTCAATTTCCAGTGATTGATGTCAATTTTAAGTCAGACGTACTCGCACGACAGACAATTAAGTGGAAAAATTCATTTTAAGTCAGCCTAGCGCTTAATATTGTATTTGCTTCTTCCCCCTTTTTAAATATATAATTGCAAAAATACAAAAAGTAACATTTGCAAAAACAAGATTTTCTTAAAATTCCTTAAAATTTTAATTCTTAAAAAATTATTATCATTAATATTAAAAATTGCAATTAAAAGCAAAACTTACCTGCGCGACTTTTTCTCCCATATTTGGTGTGTGCATTGCTCCTTGAAAATATTTCGCCGAACCATTGTCTTGCAGGGAGTACTGTAAAGAAAAAAAACTTAGTCAAAAAAAGAAATTTTCAATATTTTAGTATTTTTTTAATAGTATTTTCCATGGTATTTTTTTAGTATTTTTCTTTTTCAGTATTTTCTGTAGTTTAGCATTTTTTAAGAAAGTATTTTTAAATTTTTGAATATTATAGCATTTTCTATATTTTAGTATGTTTTTGTATTTTAGTACTTTCTATATTTTAGTATTTTTAGGAATTTTACTATTTTTTCTTAAATAGTATTTTCTATAGTATTTTTTATTATTTTCCTGTTTTTTTTAGTATTCTTTATTCTTTTTATTATTTTCAGTACTTTAGTATTTTTCAGTATTTTATTTATTTTAGTATTTTCTATATTTTAGTATTTTTTTCTATTTTAGTATTTTCTATATTTTAGTATTTTTTTTTATTTTAGTATTTTCTATATTTTAATATTTTTTTGTATTTTAGTACTTTCTATATTTTAGTATTTTTTTGTATTTTACTATTTTCTATATTTTAGTATTTTTAGGAATTTTACTATTTTTTCTTAAATAGTATTTTCTATAGTATTTTTTATTATTTTCCTGTTTTTTTAGTATTCTTTATTCTTTTTATTATTTTCAGTACTTTAGTATTTTTCAGTATTTTATTTATTTTAGTATTTTCTATATTTTAGTATTTTTTTCTATTTTAGTATTTTCTATATTTTAGTATTTTTTTTTATTTTAGTATTTTCTATATTTTAATATTTTTTTGTATTTTAGTACTTTCTATATTTTAGTATTTTTAGGTATTTTACTATTTTCTATAGAATTTTTTATGACTTTCCTCTTCTTTATAATTCTTTAGGTATTTTATTATTTTCTGTATTTTAGTATTTTTCAGTATTTTAGTATTTTCTATATTTTACTATTTTTTTTTTATTTTAGTACTTTCTATATTTTAGTATTTTTAGGTATTTTACTATCTTTCTTAAATAGTATTTTCTATAGTATTTTTTATTATTTTTCTGTTTTTTTAGTATTCTTTATTCTTTTTATTATTTTCTGTATTTTAGTATTTTTCAGTATTTTAGTATTTTCTATATTTTACTATTTTTTTTTTATTTTAGTACTTTCTATATTTTAGTATTTTTAGGTATTTTACTATCTTTCTTAAATAGTATTTTCTATAGTATTTTTTATTATTTTCCTGTTTTTTTAGTATTCTTTATTCTTTTTATTATTTTCTGTATTTTAGTATTTTTTAGTATTTTAGTATTTTTAGTATTTTAGTATTTTCAATATTTTAGTATTTTTTTAATAGTATTTTCCATGGTATTTTTTAGTATTTTTTTTAATAGTATTTTCCATGGTATTTTTTTTAGTATTTTTCTTTTTCAGTATTTTCTGTATTTTAGCATTTTTTAAGAAAGTATTTTTAAATTTTTGAATATTATAGCATTTTCTATATTTTAGTATGTTTTTGTATTTTAGTACTTTCTATATTTTAGTATTTTTTTTATTTTAGTATTTTCTATATTTTAATATTTTTTTGTATTTTAGTACTTTCTATATTTTAGTATTTTTGGGTATTTTACTATCTTTCTTAAATAGTATTTTCTATAGTATTTTTTATTATTTTCCTCTTCTTTATAATTCTTTAAGTATTTTATTATTTTCTGTATTTTATTATTTTCTGTATTTTAGTATTTTTCAGTACTTTAGTATTTTTCAGTATTTTAGTATTTTTTTTTATTTTAGTATTTTCTATATTTTAGTATTTTTTTTATTTTAGTATTTTCTATATTTTAATATTTTTTTGTATTTTAGTACTTTCTATATTTTAGTATTTTTGGGTATTTTACTATCTTTCTTAAATAGTATTTTCTATAGTATTTTTTTATGATTTTCCTGTTGTTTATAATTCTTTAAGTATTTTATTATTTTCTGTATTTTAGTATTTTTCTAGTATTTTCTATGTTTTAGTATTTTAGTATTTTTTTTATTTTAGTATTTTCTATATTTTAGTATTTTTTGTATTTTAGTATTTTTTGTATTTTAGTATTTTTTCAGTATTTTATTATTTTCTGTATTTTAGAATTTTCTATATTTCAGTATTTTTCTGTACTTTAGTTATTTACATATTTTAGTATTTTTGGGTATTTTAGTATTTTTCTTAAATAGTATTTTCTATACTAATTTTTAATATTTTCGTGTATTTTAGTTTCTCTCTTAATTACCATTTTTTATATTTTAGTAATTACTATAGTATTTTTAGTATTTTTCTTTTTCATTATTTTAGAATTTTTTATTTTAGTACCTAAATAATAATAATAATTTAAAAAAACAATACAAAAAGTAATAATGAAAATATTAGCAAATAATAAATTACAAAATAAAAAAAAATGAAGAAAAATGGTAAATTGCATAAAGAAAAAAAAAAAATAGTAAATAATAATAATAAAAAAATAGTCAAAAAATTTGTTCTCCTTGACGTACTTTATGTTTTAGCGATTCGGGACCCATTTGACTGAGCGATGGCGATTTTCGATCTCTGGATGTTCGCCATTTTTGTAAATCACTCTCCGACGCAACACCAGGAAAAATTTTCGAATGTTTTGCCGCTAAAAAGAAGAAGAAAATCAAAGTTTATTTCATTTCCTCTTTCAATTTTATTTATATTGTAAAATAAAATCAATATTAGGTGTTGGTGTATATGTGTAAGTAAAAGTATATATATAATAGAACAATTTTCTCAATATTCTCGCACAATTTGTTTGTAATAACAAAAATAAATTGTGTGAGAATATTATGTTATCTATAAAAACAAAAAATTTTTCTGGCTATTGCCAGGAAAAATAAACTCTGACGTTTTTTTGTTTTTTTTTTCATTTTAATAAAAACAATAACAAAATAATAAAATTTATGCGTAATTATTATATATATATGTAATATTTCATTGGATAATTTAAATATTTAGGGAAAAAAATAATATTTTTAGTAGCTAAAAATAATTTTAGTATCTGTAGAAATAATAATTATAATAATAATACTAAGGTATTTCTATACTAAAAATTTATAGATACTCGAGAATTAAAAAAAATGACAAGGAAAAATTTCTAAATATGCGAAATTAAAAAAAAAACAAAAAAAATTCAAAAAACAGAAAAATTCTAAAAAAAAACTAGAAATTTTACTTAAAAAAAAATTCTTGTATTCCGTATTTTTTGATATTTTAGTTTTTTAGTATTCTGTAATTTTCAGTATTTTGTATTTTTAAAATATTTTTCAATTTCATTTTGTACTATTTTGCTTTTTTAGTATTTTCCATTTTTTAATATTTTGCTTTTTTAGTATTTTGCTTTTTAAGAATTTTGTATTCTGTATTTTTTACTATTTTACTATTTTCGTATTTTCTAGAATTTAGTATTTTGTACTTTTTAGTATTTTACAATTTTCTATTTAGTATTTCTTTTTTTAGTATTTAATTGTTTCATTAAATAAATAAATTGTTTACAAGTATTTAATTGTATTATTATATAAAAATACTAGAAAAATTTTTTTTTTAATATTCTAAAAAATACGAAATTTGAAAAAATATAAAAAAAACCATAAATATTTTTTTAAAAATAAAAAAAGTAAAAATAGTTTTAAAATAGTTACTAAAAGACCTAAAAAATACTAAATATTGAGAAAATAAAAATACTAAAAAATAAATAAAACTTTAAAAACAAAAAAAAGTATATTTTGGTATTTAAGTATTTTCTACATTTTTAGTATTTTTTACAAATGGTATTTTCTATAGTATTTTTTAGTATTTGAGTATTTTAGTATTTTTTCAAAGAGTTTTTGAATATTTTAGTATTTTTCAGTATTTCTGTAATTTAGTATTTTTGTTTTTTTAGTATTTTTCTTAAATATTATTTTCTATAGTATTTTTTAGTATTTTCCTGTAATTCAGTATTTTTCTTAAATAGTATTTCCTATAGTTTATTTTAGTATTTTTCTTTTTCAGTATTTTCATTAACTAATTTTTTCTTTAAATAAATAAATTCTTTATATAAAAATACTAAAAAAAATAATTTGTTAAATACTGTAATAAATACAAAATTTGAAAAGAACAAAAAAAACGATAAATATTTAAAAAAATATAAATAAAAAAAGTAAAAATAGTTTTAAAATAGGTACTAAAAGACCTAAGAAATACAGAATATTGAGAAAACAAAAATACTCAAAAATAAAGTAAAAACTTAGTTTAAACACAAAAATAAAAAAAAAACAGTATTATACTAAAAAAAATAAAAATAATAATTGAACGAAAATACTAAAAACACAAAATACTAAAATACTAAGAAATACAAAATACTGACAAATTAAAAGTACTAAAATATACAGAATAAGGAAAAAAAAGATAAAAATACTTTTAAAAAAGTAGAAAATACTTTTAAAAAAATAAAAAATACTAAAAAAAAAATAAATACTAAAAAATAAAAAATACTAAAAAAATAAAAAATTCGAAATACTAAAATTAAAAAAATTAAATAATACAGAATACTAAGATAATACAGAATACTAAAATATACGAAATACTAAAATTTACAGAATACTAAACTTTACAGAATACTAAAATTTACAGATTACTAAAATTCACAAAAAACTAAAATTTACAAAATACTAAAATTTACAAAAATACTAAAATACCAAAAAAAATAAAATATATGAAAAAACAAAATAATACAGAATTCTAAAAAAAGTAAATACAAAAAAAAAATACTAAAATATACGAAACAAAAAAAAATACAGAATACTAAAAAAATACTAAAAAAGACACTAAATACTAAAAAATAAAAAATTCGAAAAAAATTACCGAAAAACTATGAAATTAGTTACAGAAAATTCAAATGCACAATTATTAATGCAAGTCAGAGTTTAATTTTCGAATTATCATTAGTATAAAGCATTTAAAAAAAAGTGTGTCAATAAAGACTTGTGTAAGTATTTTATGATATATGTAAAAGAACAAAGATGAGTATATTTGTATATACAGTAGATAATTAAGAGACTAATGTTTTAGATAGCTCTAGAAGCTGCATACCTGTGAAAAAAAGTAAATATTCTATATTGATTTTGAAAAAATGTTTTTTAATACAGTCGTAAATAGAAATTGTATATTTAAATGGCCATTACATTCTGCTATCACTAAGTACTACAATTTTTCTGCATCAGAGATTTTGTTTTGTGATAGAAATGGTTTTTTGTACAATGCGCTGATACAAATTCACTGCACTAATATTTTTTTTCTATTTTCTTCAATTATTTTTATTTTATTTTCATTTTTTTATTTCACTTTAAAAAAATTTTTTTTTTTTTTTAAGGAAGTAATTAACTAAAAATATTTTTACTGTTTTTTTAACTAAAAATAATTTCTTTTAACTAAAAAAATTTTTTTTTACCTAAAAATATTAACTAACAATATTTCTTTTAACTAAAAATATAAATTAACAGAAATTTTTTTTTTAACTAAAAATATCTAACAATATTTATTTTAACTAAAAATATAAATTAACAATATTTTTTTTAAACTAAAAATATTAATTAACAATAATTTTTTTAAATAAAAATATGAACTCAAAACTTTTTTTTTTAACTAAAAATATTTTTTTTATTTTTTCATGTTTTCTTTATTTAAAAAAAAAATAATGAACTAAAAAAAATAGTTACAGAAAAAATTGTAGAAAACGATTCAAAATATTTTAGAAAAAAGGTAATAATAATAACAATAGTAGAAAATAATAATTATTATAATATTATTAATAATAATTACTATTATAATATTAATAATAATACAAAAAAGATGATAATAATAATAATAATAATAATAATAACAATAATAATAATAATAATAATAATAATAATATAAATAGTAAAAAAAATATAATAACAAAAAAATAAAATAACAATAGTTATTAAAAAATTAACAGTAAATACTGTTAATTTGTTAATAACTATTGTCAAAAAATTATTAAAAATTTGTTATTAAAAAAAAATTATTATTAAAAAATTAACAGTATTTACTGTTAATTTTTTTATAACAATTGTTATTTAATTTTAATAATAACAATAATAACAGTAAAAAAAATATAATAAAATCCTAAATAAGTCAAATATCGAAAATTGAAATTATCTTAAGAATTTTTTTTTCTCTTCTTGGTTTCGAAAAAGAAAAAAAAAAATAAACTTTATAATGATAGGTGTGAGAAAAATAAAAATTATTTGAGATTGATCTGAATATTGAAAATTGACGTTCAAATCGATTGTGACGACTGAAATAAAAGCCGTGAAATTCAGCTATTGCGCACCGCTTGTGAAAATAAAGCAACTGGCTATTTTTGTATAATAAAAAGTTAATTCTGTTGCCATCGAAAACGTATATTTTATTTATTAATATTTATACAATTTACCTCTATGTGAATAAAATTGGCCTCGGCAAAATATTTCAATATTAAATTACTCATTTACCGTGAATATTAAATATTCAGAGCATTAATTAACTGATTTATTCGTTAAATTATTATTCGGATAATTATTTCTATAGAAATGTTTATTTTCCGTTTAAAAAAAAAACAAACAAACAAAGTTTCGTGAAAAATTCTGGGAAAATTCAAATTAAGTTTATATTAATTTTAATTTATAAATTTAATTATTAATTATTATATTATTATATTATTATTATATTATATTAATTATATTTATATATAACATATTATTAATTATTATTATTGTATTATAAATTTTATTTATATTAACAAAAAAGTTTCTTTTTAAAAATCTCTAAAAAAAAACAATATTTTTATTTCTTTCACAAAAAATAAATAAATTAATTAAAAAACAATTCTTCTAAAAAAATAATTTTTATAGAAAGAAATTTATTTATTTATTTATTTACAATGATAAACAAATAAATTTTTTTCTAAACAAAAACAATTATTTAAAAATTAAAACAAATTTTTATGACAAGAAATTAATTTCATTCCTTAGAAGAATAAATAAATTTTTTTCAAAAATTTGGTATTCCAAAAAACTGTATTTATAGAAAAAAAAACAATTTTTTTTATTTAAATTTTTTTTTCAATATTATTTTTCATAAAATCAGTGTCTTTATTTTTTGATAAAATTATTCAAAAAAATTTCTTTTTTGACATAATTAAATAAACAATGAAATTTTTTCTAAAAGAAAAATAATTTTTACAAAATGTAATTATTTATTTACTTACAAAAATAAATAAAAAAAAAATAAAAAAAAACCAATTTGAAAAAAATTTGTTTTATACAAAAACAAAAATTTTTCTATAAAAAAAACTATTTTTCAACAAAATTAATGTAAAAGAACAATTTTTGTATTAGAAAATAATATAAAGATTTTCTTAAATAAATAATTTTTGGAGAAAACTGATTTTTGAATAAATATTTTTAGGAAAAAGAATTAAAAAATATTTTCTAGAAAAATAAGTAAAAAACATGTTTGTAAAAAATAAATAAAAAATTTAATTATTCAGAATAATAATTGAAAACTGTGAAAGTAATTAATTATTAAGAATTAATAATTATTGTAATTAATAATTTTTATAGTAAATAATAAGTTTTTGTAATTAAAAAAATAATTAATAATTACAATAATTATAATTATTAATTTTTAGGACAATAATTATTAATAATTATTAATATTTATTATTATTATTAATTATTATTAATTATTAATAATTATTAATTACAATAATTATAATTATTAATTTTCAAGACAACAATTGTTAATAATTAATAATTACAATAATTATAGTTAACTAATGTTAGAATAATTAATTATTAATAATTATTGTCCTAAAATTAATGAATATAAAAATAATTGTCAATTTTAAGAATAGTTGATAAAATTATAGACAAAAATAATTAGTTGTTTTAATAATTAAAATATTAATTAAATAAAAAGTTGAAAATTAAAATTAAGTTAAAATAAGTAAAAAAAATTAGAAAACTAAAATCGAAAACTGTTTTTTTAATTTAAATGTTAGCAACAAAGTTACCAACTGTAGGTTAATTACCTCGCTTTTTAATAAAAAAAAAAAGGTAGCAAATTGTTGATATCGTCTCCGGGGGTAAATTTCAACTTTTTTTTAACTCCAGTCTCGAATTGTTTTTTTTACAGGCCGACCGAGAAAGCTTCTATTTCTCCATAAAAATCATTAATAATAATTTTCATCTCAAATTTAATATAAAAATTCAAAAAAAAAAACTACTCATTCTTTTTTTTACTATTTTAAATAAAAAAAAAACTCCAGTAAATCTTCTCTGGAACTTTTTCCAATTGAAAAAATTACCCTACGTCGATAAAACAGAGTTTGATAATAAAAAAAAGTAAAAACTAAAAATTTCTATACAGTAGTTAATGTAAAAATTCGTGTTAATTTTAAAAGTGTTAAACAAAAAGTGCAAGCTCAGTTCCAGAGAAGTAAAATTATAATCAAAAACTAGAGAATTACCTGAAGGATCTCTGGAGTGATAAGCTCATATCATGATAAAAGCGAAAAGCAAATGGTAAGTAAGAAAAGTAGAGAGAAAGATAGAGAGAGAGAGAGAAAGGGGTGCAAACTCGGTAAGTAGCGCTCGGTCGGTAACACCGAGTATTTCTTGCTGTTTTTTAATTTTTTAAATTCATTTTTTCATTTGCTTTTTTTGTTTTTGTTTTTTTTTTGTTTTTTTTTGTATTTTACCTTCGGTGAGATTATCAACAGTCGCTGGCCTTCGTTCGAGGGTGATTAGTTCGCTCCCTCGGCCCGCTACTAGAATATTTTTCTGATGTTTGATTTTGGAATGGCAGAGATGAAACGAGGGAGGAGATCGATTTCCGCTACCCTGACAGTACAGCTATGAGAAGGATAGCAGAGGCTAAATATTCTTACAGATTCGAGGCGCAAGGGGACCTCAATTTACTTTTTTTCTATTTCGATTTTTAACCTCAAAATTAAATTATTCTTTTTCGATTCTAAATTTATTTTTTTTTCTTCCGATTCAATCTTCAATTTATTTCTTTTTTTGCTCTCAAATTTCATTTCATTTTTAAAACTAAATTATTTATTTACGCGTCCAAAATACGCGATAAACTCGACTTTCCGTGGTAACTAAATAAGTAACTAACTAACTTAGTTACTAAATAAATAAGTAACTAACTAACTTAGTTACTAAATAAATAAGCAACTAAGTTACTTTGTTACTAAGTTACTAACTAACTTTGTTACTAATTTACTTTGTTACTAAGTTACTTTGTTACTAAGTTACTAAGTTACTTTGTTACTAAGTTACTAACTAATTATGTTACTAAGTTACTTTGTTACTAGGTAATTTTGTTACTAAGTAACTTTGTTACTAAGTAACTTTGTTACTAAGTGACTTACTAATTTTGTTACTAAGTAACTTTTTTACTAAGTTACTAAGTAACTTAGTAAAAAAGTAACTTAGTAACAAAATTAGTTAGTCACTTAGTAACGAAGTTACTTAGTAACTTAGTAACAAAGTTACTTACTACCTTAGTAAAAAAGTAACTTAGTAACAAAATTAGTTAGTAACTTAGTCACAAAGTTACTTAGTCACAAATTTACTTAATAATAAAGTTAATTATTAACTTAATAACAAAGTTAGTTAGTAATAAAGTTAGTAACATAGTAACAAATTTAATTAATAACATAGTAATAAAGTTAGTTAGTCGCAAAGTTAGTTAGTAACTTAGTAACAAAGTTACTTAGTAACTTAGTAACAAAGTTACTTAGTAACTTAGTAACAAAGTTACTTAGTAACTTAGTAACAAAGTTACTTACTACCTTAGTAAAAAAGTAACTTAGTAACAAAATTAGTTAGTAACTTAGTCACAAAGTTACTTAGTCACAAATTTACTTAATAATAAAGTTAATTATTAACTTAATAACAAAGTTAGTTAGTAATAAAGTTAGTTAGTAACATAGTAACAAATTTAATTAATAACATAGTAATAAAGTTAGTTAGTCGCAAAGTTAGTTAGTAACTTAGTAACAAAGTTACTTAGTAACAAAGTTACTTAGTAACTTAGTAACAAAGTTACTTACTACCTTAGTAAAAAAGTAACTTAGTAACAAAATTAGTTAGTAACTTAGTCACAAAGTTATTTAGTAATAAAGTTACTTAGCAACATAGTTACTTAGTAATAAAGTTACTTAGTAACAAAGTTAGTTAGTAACAAAGTTACTTAGTACCTTAGTAAAAAAAGTAACTTAGTAATAAAGTTACTTAGCAACATAGTAACGTAGTAGCAAAGTTACTTAGTAACAAAGTTACTTTGTAACAAAGTTACTTAGTAACAAAGTTACTTTGTAACAAAGTTACTTAGTAACAAAGTTACTTAGTAACAAAGTTACTTACTACCTTAGTAAAAAAGTAACTTAGTAACAAAATTAGTTAGTAACTTAGTCACAAAGTTACTTAGTCACAAATTTACTTAATAATAAAGTTAATTATTAACTTAATAACAAAGTTAGTTAGTAATAAAGTTAGTTAGTAACATAGTAACAAATTTAATTAATAACATAGTAATAAAGTTAGTTAGTCGCAAAGTTAGTTAGTAACTTAGTAACAAAGTTACTTAGTAACAAAGTTACTTAGTAACTTAGTAACAAAGTTACTTACTACCTTAGTAAAAAAGTAACTTAGTAACAAAATTAGTTAGTAACTTAGTCACAAAGTTATTTAGTAATAAAGTTACTTAGCAACATAGTTACTTAGTAATAAAGTTACTTAGTAACAAAGTTAGTTAGTAACAAAGTTACTTAGTACCTTAGTAAAAAAAGTAACTTAGTAATAAAGTTACTTAGCAACATAGTAACGTAGTAGCAAAGTTACTTAGTAACAAAGTTACTTTGTAACAAAGTTACTTAGTAGCAAAGTTACTTAGTAACAAAGTTACTTTGTAACAAAGTTACTTAGTAACAAAGTTACTTTGTAACAAAGTTACTTAGTAACAAAGTTACTTAGTAACAAAGTTACTTTGTAACAAAGTTACTTTGTAACAAAGTTACTTAGTAACAAAGTTACTTTGTAACAAAGTTACTTTGTAACAAAGTTACTTTGTAACAAAGTTACTTTGTAACAAAGTTACTTTGTAACAAAGTTACTTTGTAACAAAGTTACTTAGTAACAAAGTTACTTTGTAACAAAGTTACTTTGTAACAAAGTTACTTAGTAACAAAGTTACTAAGTAACAAAGTTAGTTAGTAACAAAGTTACTTAGTAACTTAGTAACAAAATTAGTTAGTAACTTAGTAACAAAGTATCTTAGTAACAAAATTAGTTAGTAACTTAGTAACAAAGTAAATTAGTAACAAAGTTACTTAGTAACTTAGTATCAAAATTAGTTAATAACTTAGTAATAAAGTTAGTTAGTCACAAAGTTAGTTAGTTACTTAGTAACAAAGTAACTTAGTTAGTAACTTAGTAACAAAGTTACTTAGTAACCTTGTTAGTAAGTTACTAACTAAGTTACTTTGTTACTAAGGTTCTTAATTTGCTACTAACTAACTCTGTTACTAAGTAACTTTGTTACTAATTTACTTTGTTACTAAGTTACAAACTAATTTTGTTACTAAGTTACTAAGTTACAAACTAATTTTGTTACTAAGTTATTTTGTTACTAAGTTACTTATTAACTTTGTTACTAAGTTACTTATTAACTTTGTTACTAAGTTACTTATTAACTTTGTTACTAAGTTACTTATTAACTTTGTTACTAAGTTACTTATTAACTTTGTTACTAACTAACTTTGTTACTTAGTTACTAACTTTTGTACTAAGTTACTTTATTACTAACTAACTTTGTTACTGAGTTACTAAGTTACTTTGTTACTAAGATACTGACTAACCTAATGACTAAGTTACTTTGTTACTAAGTTACTAACTAATTTTGCTACTATGTTACTTTGTTACTGAGTTACTAACTAACCTTATGACTATGTTATTTATTAATTTTGTTAGTACGTTACTAACTAACTTTGTTACTAACTAAATTTGTTACTAACTTACTTTGTTACTAACTAACTTTGTGACTAAGTTACTTTGTGACTAAGTTACTTTGTTACTAACTAAATAACTAACTAACTTTGTTACTAACTAACCTAGACACTAACTAATTAGTAAGTTACTTATGTAATTAGAAGCTAAGTTAGTAAGTTAGTTATTTTGTAATTAATTTAGTTATTAAGTTAATTAGTAACTATGTTTGATGCTTATTTAGTTCGTAATTAAGTCAGTTACTTGTTAAGTAGAAACTAAGTTTGTTAGTAACTATGTCAGTAAGATAATTATTTAGTAACTAAGTTTGTTAGTAAGTTAATTAGCATTTAAGTTTGTTAGTAATTTAGTAAGTAACTTATAACTCAGTTAGGTAGTAACTTCGTAAGTAACGAATTTAGTTCTTTTTACAGTGTTAGTTACAAAGTAAATATGTAACTAGTCATTTTAGTTACTAATTAAAAAAGTATCTAACTTAGTTACTTACTAACTTACGATCTAACTTATTAACTAATTAAATAATTAATACATATTTGTTTTTGGATTTAATTTTCGGATGAGTCTTGTTTACCGCGCAATTTATTTTTATTTTTTATTATTTTATTATTTATTTTTATTTTTCCCTCTCAATATTTTTCTTTCTTTATTTTAAATCTAAATTTATTTTTTTTCTCATTTGATATTCTAACCTTGATTTTTTTTCCCCGTTCAATTTCGTTCTCTTACGATTCTAACCTCAATTTTTTTTATATCCTCTCAATTTTATTTCTTTTTCTTTTGTTTTTTTTATTTTAAAACTCAATTTATTTTTTCCTCTTTTGATTGTAACCTCAATTTGATTCTTTATTAAACCTTAATTCCTTTCTTTTCTCCTTCGATTCTAACCTCAATTTTTTTTCTCCTTCGATTCTAACTTTAAATTCTTTTTTCCCCTTCGATTCCAAGCTCAATTTTTTTTCCTTTTGCTTTCTAATCTAAATTTTAAAATATTTTTTATTCTTAATTTTCATTTCATTTTTTTTTTATTTTCAACTTCGTGATAAAAGTTAATAATTTCTTCACTTAAAAAAAGAATAATAATTTATTCTTATTCTTTTTTAAAAAAATAAGAACAATGATTTATTTTTACTCTTTAAAAAAAAATAATAAGTAATAATGTTAAATTATTTTACTAAGAACAAAAGAAATAAATTTTGTTTTCAAAAATCCCGCCTTGAAATTAAATGAGAGCGCTTTATTACAATATTTTGCCATAAAGTATTACCACTTGTGAGAAAGTCAGTGGCGCTGTCAATTTAATTTCAAGGCGGGCTTTTTGAAAACAAAATTTATTTCTTTTCTTTTTAGTAAATTAATTTAACACTATTACTTATTATTTATTATTATTCTAATTACTATTATTTTTTTTTCTTTTAAGAATAAGAATTTTTTTTTACTTTGCTAACGGAAACAGAGTGTGACGGAAACACATATTAAATAATTTTTTCAATATTCCAATTGACAAATAAATTTCGAGAAAAAAAAAATTGTTTTTTTCTTTTGCAAAGTTTCCCCACCCCCTCCCCCCAGGGGGAAAGAATAAATAAAATTGTTCGGGAAAAGAAATAATAATATAGAAGGTAAATTGAAGACTTACGAACACTACAGGTGAGACTACGACATGGGACCCTCGTTGTTTCAGTTTTGACAACACGCCTGGAAATCGCATCCAGACTCGCCGCGTGTGAAACACTTCGCGATGGTCCCTGTTCAGCTGACGATGATTGTGGTCCTTCCCAAATTCCAGACTTTTGGGACATCTAAAAATAAGGCAAAAATTCGTTAATTTACTCTCAGTGAGAATAAATTTTTAATAATAAAAATATCAAAATAAAAATAATAAAAATAATCAAAATAATCAAAATATCAAAATAAAAATAATCAAAATAAAAATATCAAAATAAAAATAATACAAACAAAAATAATAAAAATAAAAACAATAAATGCAAAAAAACCGGTAGAAAACTATTACGAACATAACCTATAATTTTTTTTTTGCCCCTCGCTTTAACTTAACTTCTTACCTTTTCATTTGTATTTATATCTAAAAAAATGGTAATTTCAACAAATTCCAATTTCACCTTTTAAACACTATTTACAGAATAAAATAACTTAAAATTCTTTAAATCCTATAATTAGTAATTTCGTAAATTATCAAATTGTTTTTTGAATAAAAAAATACTTTTTTCTATCTCGCAAGGTTGGGTAGATGAAAAAAATAAAAATTGTAACAAGGTTGGGTAGTTGGTGAAAAAAAAATTGAAAATTTTCTTTTACAAGGTTGAGTTGTCGATAAAGAAGTTTCCAAACATTCATGTAGCATACTTTTTTGTCTATTTGTAATATTTTGCCAATAAAAATATTACCGCTTGCGAGAAAGTCAGTGGTACATTTAATTTCAAGGGCGGGCTATTTAAAAACAAAATTTTATTTTAAGATGTACTATTTACTTTTTCTTTACTTTTATTAAATTACGATAATTTTAATTAAATTGCTTTTACTAACTTTTAGAAATAATTATTATTAATACTAACAACAATTTTACTTCATTTTTTAAATAAAATTATCAATTTTAAAAATAATAGAATTTAAAAATTTTAAATTCAAATTTTTGTTGAAAACACTAAAATAATTCAATTTTGGAGAAATTGCAAAATAATTTATATTGCATAAATTCAATTATTTTCAAAAGTAATAAAATTCTTCTCATAAAATTCAATTATGTTTAAAATTAAAAAAAAAAATTTTCGTCAAAATTCCAATTATCTTTGTAAATAAAAAAAAATTTTCCCCAAAGTTCAATTATTTTCAAAAATGACAATAAAATTCTTGTCGTAATTTCAATTATTTTCAATATCTACTATTTTAATAAAATTTTCCGAGAAAAATTCAATTATTTAAAAAAAAATTTAATAAAATCGCGTACACAAACATTTAATTATTGTCAAAAATAATAAAAGTTCCACAGGAATTCAATTATTTACAAATTTTTTTTTTATAAATTTCTTCGCAATAATTAAATTATTTTCATAAATTTTTAATTATTATAAATTATTATAAAACATTCGTAAAAATGTAACAAAACACTTTTTTTTTTAATAAAATTTTTTCCTTCATTTTCTAAAAATTCAAAAATTTTCATTTTCAATAAAATCGACATTTAAAAGAATTTTAGTTTAATAATTAAAAAAAATTGAATTTTACAAACAATTTTATACATGGAATCGATTTTTCATAGAATTTTAATTTTATAAATTAAAAAGAAATTCAATTTTTTAAATAATTTTCCAAAACATTGAGTTTTCAAAGAATTTTCATTTCATAATTGAAAAATAATTGGATTTAATAAATAATTTTTATAAAAAATCGATTTTTTGAAGAGTTTTCATTTCATAATTGAAAAATAATTGAATTTAATAAATAATTTTCTTGAAAAATCGATTTTTTGAAAAATTTTAATTTCATAATTGAAAAATAATTGAATTTTACATACAATTTAACAAAAAATTAAATTTCCAAAGTATTTTAATCAAATAGTTAAGAAAAAATTAGAATTTTCCAAAAAATTTTTCTGAAAAATTGATTTTTCAATGAATTTTAATTTAATAATTGAAAAATAATTGAATTTTAGAAAAAAAAATGTTCAATAACATCGACTTTTAAAAGCATTTTAATTTAATACTTGAAAAAAAAATTTAATTTTACAAAAACAACTTTACATAAAATTGATTTTTTAAAGAATTTTAATTTCATAATTAAAAAATAATTGAATTTTTAATATAATTTTCCAAAACATTGAGTTTTCAATGAATTTTCATTTCACAATTAAAAAATAATTGAATTTAAGGGCATTTGAACCTTGATGACGTCACACATGCTTTGCACAAAGTGTAACGTCATCAAGGTTCAAATGCCCTTAATAAATAATTTTCTTAAAAAATTTTTAAATAATTTAAATAATAATAAATAATATAATAATATAATAGTATAATATAATAATATAATATATTAATAATTTCAATAATTTTTTTTTTTTTTTCTTAAAAATTTTTTGAAGAATTTTAATTTAATAGTTGAGAAATAATTGTAATTTCCCAAAAATTAATTTCAAAAAGGTTTGAATTTGGAATTTTTGAATGTCTTAATTCCTGTGGAAAAATAATAAGAATCAAAAATTTAGTTAAAAAAGAAATTATTGATGTTTTTGAATAATTTTACAATTAAAGAAATTCGTAAAAATGTTAACGGAACATTTTTTTTCAGTAAAATTTTTTTGCTTTATTTTCTAAAAATTCAAAAATTTTCATTTTTAATGAAAATTACTACTGAAATGTTAATTAAAAATTTTATAATAACAAATATTAGAATTGTCTGATTGTATTACCTACTTAAAAAAATTTATTGTAGACGTAACTTTAAAATTTCTATTGTGAACTTAACCTAAGAGTCTCCATTGTGGACTTAACCTAAAAGTCTCCATTGTGGACCTAACCTAAACGTCTCTATTGTGGACGTAACTTACTGGCGACATAACCTCAAATCTAAGCACAACGAAAAATCGTTCACATTGCGGAGATAATTTGCAAATGTGCTCGTAAATTTTTACAATCACCATTATCTTTATTCGCCACATTCCAAAGAACACTAAAGACAGATAATTAGATTAGAAATGGAAAACAATTAAAATTTTCAATTTCTGTCCTACTTTTGTAACGTCCCATCGCCATTTTCACACCGATTGCCATATTATGACTATTTTTAACAGGCCCTCGCTCTTTATCGAATGAAAAAGCCTACATTTGAAAAGTTTTCACCATATCTTCTCGCAGTTATCTCGTACGAGTGTCGTTTTCCATAATAGTGTTAGATTCAGATTTTAGGCGCGCTAATGGCGAACCATAACCTATAACAATAACAGTAACTGATACCAAAGAGGAGGAAAATGATTTTTTTTTTCATTACAGTTCTCCGAGTGCCAGAGGCTGTCTTCTATCGAACTTTGCAGAGATAATGGAATTAAGCCCTTCTTCGCTTCTTTTAAAATCCACCCACCCACCTTAATGTCATTTCCGAGTAATGTATAACTTTATTTAAAAACTATTATCGCCACGGAAATGCGATAAAAAAATGAGCGAATACTCTAGGGAATTTTTTTCCCCCTTGTTTTCAAGTTTCTTTAATTCTGAAATTCTTTTTTCTACTTTGAACCTGAATTTAAGTCCCATAATCCCCCAGGCGATCGATTTTTCAAAAAAAAAAAAAAAAATAAAAGATAAAAATAATTTTTATCAAGAAAAAAAGTGGGGAAATTCTCACGAAAGTGTAGTGTATTTTTTCTTCATTTTTAACTGACTGAAGTTTGCAGTTTATAGTTTATGGTAATTCTACAATAAAGACCTTTAGGCTAAGTCCAATCCACAATTGTATCTTTTGTCAACAATAAAATATTTTAGGTTCAGTTCACAATAGTATCTTTTGTCCTCAGTAAAATATTTTAGGTTTAGTCCACAATATAGAAGATTAGGTTCAATCCACAATCGTATCTTTTGTCAACAATAAAATATTTTAGGTTCAATCCACAATAGAATCATTTGTTCACAATAAAATATTTTAGGTTCAGTCCACAATGTAAAATTTGAGGTTAAATCCAAAAAAAGTAATGAAATGAAAAACTTACGTCGCTGACTCCTTCGGGACTCGCTATAGGTGCCGTCGTTCCAGGAATTGGAAGACTGGGAGTGGCTCCGGAACTGCCAATGGTGCCAACCATGTGTGGAGCTGGCAGTGAAAGTGGAGGGGTGCCCGTTCTTCCTGGGCCCCAGGATTCCATCATCGTCGGCGAGCCACATGTCAAAGGACTGCGAAATAGCGGAAACCAATTACAAATTTGAAAATCGAAGAACATAACCTAAAAAACAAAAAATACTAAAAAAAACCAAAAAAAAAAGATTAAATAATACAAAAAGTGCCCTTAAATGTCAAAAAATAACCAAATATACTGAAAAGTAAGTAAAAGATACCCAAAAATAGATAAAAATGTCTTTAAAAAACCCTAAAATTACCCAAATAAAATTTTTAAGAAAACCAAAAAAATCAACCAAATGTCACTAAAAAAAAACAAAATTTACTCAAAAATATAGAAAAAAAGTAAAAATTAACACAAATTGTAATTGAATATATAATTTCAGTATTTTCGGCAAATACAATTTATTTGATTTAAATAAAGATTATTTAATTCAAATATAAGTAAGTATATTTACTTGAATCAAATAAATATCCACTTGAATCAAGTAAATACCTACATAAATAATTCTTCAAAAAAAATTCAATTATTTTCGAAAATAACAAAATAATTCCCGAAAATTCAATTATTTCAAGGCATTTTAATAAAACTCCCAGCAAAATTCAACTATTTTCAAAAAAAAAATAATAATATTCATCAATTATTTTTAAAAGTAATAAATTTTTTCTTAGAAATTCAATTATTCTATTGTTAATACTATTTTAAATTAATTAATCGAAAAATTCAAATATTTTCACAAATAAAGTTTTCCAAAAGAATTTTTTAAACATTATAATATAAAACTTTTCGTAAAATCAAATAAAGTTTATATTTGAACTGAATATTTCAGTATTTAAGGCAAATATGATGATTTAAATAAAAATTATTTGATTCATGTGAATATTTAGTTGATTCAAATAAATTATATTATAAACATCAATTTTACATCAAAGATAATATACATTATAATAATCGTAAGTTTCCTTTCTGTTAGCAAATTATCTGCATTCATTTGTTTGTTTTGAAAATTTAATTTTGTGGGTTAAGTATTGGCATTTTTTATATATTTTTTAATGTCAAACTTTTTAATGTGGAAAATACTTTACTTATTAAATTGTCTCGACTCTTTGGTAAAAAATGTAAAATTATCAAAAATTATCAAAAATTCAAAAATCCGATTTTCTTAAAATTCAACATTTTTTCCTCTCTTTAATGGGATTTAGCTTTATTATTTTTGTGCTTTTGGAAAATACTTTACTTATTTAATAGTCTCGACTCTTTGGTAAAAAATCTAAAATTATCAAAAATTATCAAAAATTCAAAAATCCGATTTTCTTAAAATTCAACATTTTTTCCTCTCTTTAATGGGATTTAGCTTTATTATTTTTGTGCTTTTGGAAAATACTTTACTTATTTAATAGTCTCGACTCTTTGGTAAAAAATCTAAAATTATCGAAAATTATCAAAATTTCAAAAATCCGATTTTCTTAAAATTCAACATTTTTTCCTCTCTTTAATGGGATTTAGCTTTATTATTTTTGTGCTTTTGGAAAATACTTTACTTATTAAATTGTCTCGACTCTTTGGTAAAAAATCTAAAATTATCGAAAATTATCAAAATTTCAAAAATCCGATTTTCTTAAAATTAAAAAAATAAATAAAAAAAAAATTTTTTTTTTTTATTAGCTTCATTATTTTTGTGCTTTTGGAAAATACTTTACTTATTAAATTGTCTCGACTCTTTGGTAAAAAATCTAAAATTATCGAAAATTATCAAAAATTCAAAAATCCGAATTTCTTGAAATTCAACATTTTTTCTTCTCTTTTATGGGATTTAGCTTCATTATTTTTGTGCTTTTGGAAAATACTTTACTTATTAAATTGTCTCGACTCTTTGGTAAAAAATGTAAAATTATCAAAAATTCGAAAAAATTCAAAAATCCGATTTTCTTAAAATTCAACATTTTTTCCTCTCTTTTATGGGATTTAGCTTCATTATTTTTGTGCTTTTGGAAAATACTTTACTTATTAAATTGTCTCGACTCTTTGGTAAAAAATCTAAAATTATCAAAATTCGAAAAAATTCAAAAATCCGATTTTCTTAAAATTCAACACTTTTTCCTCTCTTTTATGGGATTTAGCTTCATTATTTTTGTGCTTTTGGAAAATACTTTACTTATTAAATTGTCTCGACTCTTTGGTAAAAAATCTAAAATTATCAAAATTCGAAAAATTTCAAAAATCCGAATTTCTTAAAATTCAACACTTTTTCCTCTCTTTTATGGGATTTAGCTTCATTATTTTTGTGCTTTTGGAAAATACTTTACTTATTAAATTGTCTCGACTCTTTGGTAAAAAATCTAAAATTATCAAAAATTCGAAAAAATTCAAAAATCCGATTTTCTTAAAATTCAACATTTTTTCCTCTCTTTTATGGGATTTAGCTTCATTATTTTTGTGCTTTTGGAAAATACTTTACTTATTTAATAGTCTCGACTCTTTGGTAAAAAATCTAAAATTATCAAAAATTCGAAAAAATTCAAAAATCCGATTTTCTTAAAATTCAACATTTTTTCCTCTCCTTGATGGGATTTAGCTTCATTATTTTTGCGCTTTTGTTTGACTTTCTTCTAAATTATCGAATTTAGTGATTTCTGGGGTGAATTTGGTTAAGTTGTAAAATGATTAATTTCTATTTGAATTCGTTTTTTTTGAATGTAGAAAATCTGATGTTAATTTAATTCTTTTTTCGTTATGCACGGCAAAAAATATTTAGCTGGATGAACTACAGATTTCACTTTAGTAGCGAAATTATTCAGTGCTTCAATTAATACTTTCGTTATTCTAGAGAAACTTATCGCTATTTCAAGTCAAACTTTTTTTAGTGTGTAATAATTATTATTTCTTTAAAAAGTATTTAATCTAAAATGGCTTTATAAAATAAGCAATGCAAAAGATGACCCAGATACTAATTGTAATTGTTCCAGCCATAGTTTAAGTCTAGTAATGTAAATTCTATTTAAATTGAGACCATTGAGTGAAATTATTTGAATTTTAGTTAGTTAAATCTCTTTGTTAGTTTATAATAATTATTTCTTTAAAATTTTTCAAATTGTTTAAAATAAGCAACCCCATACAACATTCCCGCGCGGATAGTTTGGCTAGTATACCTAATAATTTAATAAATAAAATAATAATAATAGTAAATTATTTTTTTATACCTACAATGTAGGTAGAGGGTGGGGGAAATATGCATGTGACGAATTTTTGAAGAAAAAAAATGTAAATTTGAAAAAAGAAATATCTCTTATTCTTTTTCATATAATCGACACTTTTCTAAAAGTTTGTGTACACTACTCTCATAAGTTAACATCTGGTTTATAGTAGCAGATGGTCGCCACAAAGAATCTTGATCTAGAGACAAAAACATGTTTTTATTCAATTTGAGAAACTGATAAACAAAATATTTTTTATATAATACACTTGTATTAAAATTCAATTTTAGGGGAAAAGACAAATTTATATGTGCGGTAAAAGTTTTTTTATTTTCTCTTTCTTTTTTCCGATTTCGTGCGCGCGAAATTTATGGTTTTTAGATGCGTTTTAATTTCTTTTTTTGATCATTTTTGGTTATTATGATTTTATAAAATTTTTTTTTGTCATTTTTCGATATTTTAATTTTTATATTACATTTTGAGTTTTTAAGTCTCTTAAAATGGTTGAAAAAACCAAAAAGTATTAAATAAGACAAAAAGTGACTATAATTCAGTCGGAATGACCCAATTATTTTTGTTTATTTCCAGTAATTTAGGGTACAATACAATACAATTGAAAACGTAGGTATTCAAAATATTTATTAAATTCGAATAAACAAATTATATCAAATTTTGTAAAAATAATTGAATTCCATCACATTTTGTATAATTTTTAGTCTCTTTCGGTCTTTTTTGAGTTATTTTATTAAATTTTTTGGGTCATTTTTGGATATTTAAGATATAAATATCCTAAAATTAGTCAATAAACCTAAAAATATGTTGAAAAGGAAAAAAAGAATAAATAATACAAAAAGTGATATAAATTTTCCAAAAATAACTCGGAATGACCCAAAATAACTCAAAACTCAAAACTCAAAACAACATAACTCAAAACCTTAAAATGGTTGAAAAAATTTAAAAAGAACTAAATAATACGAAAAGTGACATAATTCGGTCGGAATGACCCAATTATTTTTGTTTATTTCTAGTAATTTAGGGTCATTTCGAATAAATTTGGTTTATTTTTTGATATTTTAATTTTTTCCCCACTTTTGAATTTTTTTAGTCTCTTTCATTCTCTTTTGAGTCAATTTTGACATTTCTAAATTATTTTATTAAATTTTTGGAAATTATTAGTTCCATTCGTTTCTTTTTTTCTTTTCAGTCATTTTTGACATTTATGAAATATTTTATTAAATTTTTGAATATTTTTCATCTTCAAAACAAAATTTTGTATTTAATTCATTAAATTCATTAAATTTATGCGAATTTAAAAATTTGGTTATTAATTATATTAAATTTATTTGAATTTAAAAACTTATTTATTAATGGTATGTTTAATATATTAAATTTATTAAATTATTTATTAATTATTAATATTTACTAAATTGATATATTAAATTTGAGAAAGTTAAAGTAAAATAAAAATGTTATTAAAAAAATACGTGTTGAATTGCAAAAATGTGAGCTTATGTTTGCACCCCCCTCACCCTTTTATTGTGTGTGTGTGGGTGTCAATGTGCAGGGCAGGGGAAGAGCAATAACACGTGGTTTGTTTTACCAGAGTCAGAGTATGAGTATAGAGGTTGACAAAACAAAGTCACCAGTGTTTACACGATTGACACAAACACACACAATTATTCACGCACGAATGCCTCTATGTATATTGCGGGTTGAGGTTATGTATCGATTGGCCAAGTCTGACCTAACACTGACACACTCCACTTGTGATGGCTGACCTCAGGTGCAACGTGTATTGATCATTTTTCTCAACTTTTTAGCGCGATCATTATTTTGTAATCCACCCTTTTGTTATTTTAGT